CTAACCCCCAGGACCTCAGAATGTGACTGTATTTGGAGACAGGGCCTTTACAGGAGTAATTAGAAGAAAGTCTTTAGGGTGGGCCTTAATCCAACATGACTGGTGTCCTATAAGGAAGAATTTGGGCACAGATATGAAGAGAGGGAAGAGGACGTGCAGACACAGGGACAAGATGGTATCTGCAAGCCAAGGAGAGAGGCCTCAAGTGACGACAACTCTGCCTTGATTTTGGAGTTCTAGACCCCAGAACCGTAGAAAAAAATAATTCCTGTTGTTTTAAGCAACCCAGTCTATGGTAATTTGTTACAGGAACTTAATACAGGTCCCATGAAGGAAACTAGGAAAGATGGGGTGAACAAGGATCCAGGGGTGCTACGGCCACCCTTGGTCCATGATGTAGAGAGACTTCTACTCCCGAGTCCATCTCCAGTGACCAGAACTCGCCACGTGGTGATAAGGTTTAGGAAACCCCAATGATTGCCACAGGAAAGGCAATCCTGATTCTACGGACAGCTCTGAGAACCGCCAACATCACCTTTGCACATTTGAGTCTTTCACCCAATCACCACCCCCAGAAACTGTTCAGCATCAGTGCTCCTGAACTCAGGTCTGGCTGCTCATCACTCAAAAGCTAATATTTGAGAGGTAAGTGTTGGTAGAAAGGAAAGTTTGCTTTATTCTGGAGGCTGGCAACCTGGGGAGAAGGTGGACTCATGTCCAAAGGCCAATCAGAGGGCAAGAGTTTTAAAGGGGGTTTTCAGGGGTGAATAGGCAGAGGGAGGGGGCTACATGCAGCAACAGCACAGCCAGCTCTGACCGTCATCTTGAAATTGGTCATGTGGTGGTCTGACCAGTGTCAACTTGATTGTTTTCAGTACAGTGAGCCTTCAGTTCCAGGGTTGGTTTGTCCCCCTTTCTTTGAGGCCAGTTCTGGGAATTGTGGCAGCTTATGCCATGGCTACAGCCTGGTCATCGTGTAGTTAACCTCTTCCACCTGGTGGGAGTTTCAATATCTACAAGGTAGCTCACAGGATATGGCTCAGAATATTATCTATAACCCTCGAGGAGGAACTAAAATCCTTGACTTTGTTTAATGACTAAATTATTATTTTTTTTGTTTGACTGCTTTTCTTTGTTTCTGCATTTCCTCACTTCTCTGAATAAATTTATTCGTTGGCTAAAGTTTTTCTACAGACAAGAGGCAGGCACAGGACATAGAGGGGGGCATTTCTGTTCTGTGAAGACCCCTTAGGGTCCCGCTCCATCCCATCAGGATAAGCCATTAAGGAACTGACAAGCAGGGGCAGGGTCAATCAGAAGGCTCAGGGCTCCTGCAACCAGTGAAAGGGCCACCCTTAATGAGGGGCCCACATTCCTCATTCACGTCAGATAACCTCCAGCTGCCTTTGCCGTCTGTGCCCCTTCTGGAAGGTGCAGCCCATGGCCTGCTGGGGGGAGTGACTCTGGCTGTGGGTGACAAGGACGCTGGTGGACCCGGAGCCGTGGGACCCGCCATGCTGCCCACCTCACCAGCGCGCCATCACACCAGGTCTTCTCAGCTTCTCTCTGAGCTGAGGTCAGACACGGCGCATCAGCTTGTGGGAGCTCCCCAAAAGGACTGTGACATAGCAACAGTGCAAAAGGGGGTGACTTCCAAGGACAGTGCGGGGCAGAGAGGAAATGTAAGCGACAGAAATGAGGCAAGAAGGAAAGGGAGGAAGGCATGCAGGTGGCCTGGCCACATGAGTGCCCTCAGGGGCAGGGCTGGTCTGTGGCCTGAGCCCATTCTGACTCCTGTTCTCAGGGTAGAGGCACTGCCAGGTGAGAGGCAGCAGTAGTCTGTGTCCCCAAGGCCAGGGGCAGGCAGGCCTTCTCCAGCACAATGATGGATGTTTCCCTGTAAGAACCTATTTCTGGAACCATCCAGCCTCATCAGAAAACAATGCTGTGCGGGAGGGAAGCCGGCCTGGTGGTGGCGAGTGCAAAGCAGCCAGATACCCAGAGCATCTGATATCCCAGCCAGCTCCTCCAACAGGCTTTGTGGCTATCGGAGTCAAGGCATAGTGCCTGGTGATGGCGGGGGTCATGACAGTGAACTCCCAGGATGGGACCGCATCTTAGCCTTCTCTGTACCCCTGGCACATAGTAGATGGGCAATAAAATATTTCATTAACCCCTTAGGGTTCTGCCAAATCTGGGGTGACAGTTCAGGGGACTAAACAGCTGGGAGGTACTCTGGTATTCCATGGTCTAATTCTAACTCCCAAAGGTTTAAATTATAAAGCCTAGGCTGTACCCCAGTCCCAGACCCTTTTATTTTTCCCACTCAGCCTAATCCTTCTTTTTAATCCTGATACATCCTCTCTTCCCATTTTCTTCTTTGTCCCTTCTTCCTTCAATTGGGCACTAGCAATATAGATTTGGTGCGAAAAAAAATTACGGCTATTTAATGAGCTTTTGAGAGAATGAAATAACTGCAGTTAGATTCCTGATAAGACCTACCAGGTCTAAGGAAACACACCATACGTGATTGCTGGGGAAGTTTTTGTTGTTGCTTTCAATTCTCTCACAGCTCCAAAAATTGATTCTCTGAGATGGCTTTTCAGTGGGAAATCAGCGTTAACATTACTCCCTCTAGTGCCAAGTACACTGCTGTCACACAGGGGCTTCTCGCTTACTGCAAACACACTTAGAGCTGCTGGGTGCTCTCCTCACCCAGCACAAACATGTGTATATCTCTATACACACTATATACACTCTATATACAGTGTGTGTGTGTGTGTGTGCGTTTATATATTTTATATATACACATAAAATTATATATAATTATATAAAATGTATATAATTATATATACGTAGAATTATACATTAATTATATATACATAATATATAATATATACGTTATATATATATATAATTCTTTACTACAGCACACCAAAAATCTTCTTTCAGGCCTAATATTGGTAACACAATTTACCAAATACCTATAATCACAACCTACTAGGAGAGCAGGAAAGATACAGAACACCAATGATATGTGCGATGCTTGTTTCTTTTTAGAGGAGAACCAGAAAAGAAAAGGTCATCTGGCACACTTCCAGTGAAACCACACAATTCCTAATTTTTGCACATGTTTTCAGTAGAACAACGTCAAAGGTGGGGCAGAAGGAAATGCTACAGATTATACTGAAAACTTCTCTCAGGCATTTGATGATTATGACCACAGAAGAAATGGGTCATTACCTCCTTCTATATCTTACTTAAATCCTAATTAAGAGACCTGGGGTTCTGGTTAAAAAAGATTTAACATGCTGGTTAGCTGACTTATGCAATTCTGACGTTTTTATTCAGCTGTTGGCTGCACGAATTATTCAGGCTGTGTGAGTGTTGTTTGCTCAGATATGCCTGTGTAAATGTACTATTATCCATAAAAGCTGTGGCCTCTCCCGTTGCGGAGCACAGGCTCCGGACGCGCAGGCTCAGCGGCCGTGGCTCACGGGCCCAGCCGCCCCGCGGCATGTGGGATCTTCATGGACCGGGACACGAACCCGTGTCCCCAGCATCGCAGGCGGACTCTCAACCACTATGCCACCAGGGAAGCCCTAGCCCGTTTTTAACCTTTATCCATCCTGGGTGGATAAATGCATGGGTTTTCAGCGGATCTGGTATCGTATATTTGTTTTATTGAAATCTTAAGTTCTACTGAATGATGATTCTCTTCATATCTGGATTTGGCAGTGTTCCTATCTTGGAGGCTTCAATGATTTCGGAAGCTTCTCAATAGGCCATAACAGGAGGGAATAAACATATGGCAAAGTGGCATATAACACAGCTATGTTGTTAATTCTACTTATAAACTTATTTCTGAATGAGTGTATTACCTTCTTTGAGTCAGAATCTATTTCATTTAGGGACCACTTTTCCCGAAAGTCTTGACTGGGAAACACTAGGCTACTTTAAAATATGTAGATGCAGTGTTCGCTCATAGAAATGCAAACTGTTACTATGTTCTGTGCCTTTCAGACACTGCGGGAGTGGAGTGGGGTTGCTCCTTCTCTCTTGCTTACCTCTTCGTCAGCACCATCTGGGCTCCCTTCCCTGCAGGCATTTCCTTGCTGGCCGGCCCCCAGTGCCCTTCCCCGCCTAGGATGCGCTGTCCTTCTTTTGGAGCGTTCACTTGGTCCTTCCTCGCCCTCCTCCCACCTCTGAGCGCCGCTCCTCCCCCGCCCCACCCTGGAGAGGGCGCTTCTTTTTGCCACCATCACCTGGTACGAAGCAAAGGACTTCCCAATCAGGAAGAGAAGTGGGGATCTTCCCTTACAAATGAACACAGCCCTTTCAGTTAGATTGCAGATTCCGGAGGGAACCCGGATTCTGTAAGGCCACACCCGCCGCGGGCGGAGCGGAAGTGCGCGCTGCGGGGCTGCCCCTGGGCCCAGCACCATGGTCAGCGCCCTGCCTGCGACGTCCCCTGGCCACCCGCGCGCGGCCCCAGCGCCGCCGCCGACCCGGGCGCAGTGCAGAGCCGGACACGCCCGAAGGTCAAGTCGGGCCCCGGCGCGCCTGCCAGTCTGGGGAATGGATCTGAGCCAGAGGGGAGAGCCGTGAGCAGCGGAAGACTTAACTTACGGTCTTGAAAGGCGTGCACTCATTTGGAGTATTATGCAAAGTGATGGAGGAAGATGGGGTCCCTCTTCCTCCCCGCCCCCGGCCGCTCCCCGCCCCCGCAAATAAACACAACAGACAACTTTACGCAGCATTAACAGAACGGCTGAGTTTAATGCTTCAAGTTTCCATTTCCTTCCACAGGCCTTCGTTTTACAAATAACAAAATGAGGTAAATAAGTTAATGTATGTACACGTTATAAACAGTGTCGGTTTGCGGCGGCAGCAGCGCAGGTGGTTGGAGGGCAGTTGCCGCGCGGTGGCTCGAGGTCAGCCGCCTGCGCCGCGAGCGGATTCGTCGTCCTGGGGAGAAGTCGCGGCTGTCGGAGAGGCGTCTAGAAGCATTTGCGGTGGACGATGGAGGGGCCGGCCTCGTCGTACTCCTGTTTGGTGATCCACATCTGCTGGAAGGTGGACAGCGAGGCCAGGATGGAGCCGCCGATCCACACGGAGTACTTGCGCTCGGGCGGGGCGATGATCTGCAAGACAGTGACAGTGACAGTCCGTCAGGGACGCGGCCGCGGCCCGGAGCCCCTCGCGGGCCGGGGAAGCGGGGCGGGGGGGGGGGGGGGCGGTGATCTCCTTCTGCATGCGGTCGGCGATGCCCGGGTACATGGTGGTGCCGCCCGACATGACGTTGTTGGCGTACAGGTCCTTCCTGATGTCGATGTCGCACTTCATGATGCTGTTGTAGGTGGTCTCGTGGATGCCCGCCGACTCCATGCCTGGGGGCCACGGGGAGGAGCGTGAGCAGGCGGGCGGGGGTCCCGGGGGGTTCTCTTTCCATCCCTGCCCTCCTAATTGGCCAGGACTACAGGCCGAGCCTCACCAATGAAGGAGGGCTGGAAGAGGGTCTCGGGGCAGCGGAAGCGCTCATTGCCAATGGTGATGACCTGCCCATCTGGCAGCTCGTAGCTCTTCTCCAGGGAGGAGGAGGAGGCGGCCGTGGCCATCTCGTTCTCGAAGTCCAGGGCCACGTAGCACAGCTTCTCCTTGATGTCGCGCACGATCTCGCGCTCGGCTGCGGGGGGCGGGACGGGAGAGGAGCCCTCAGCGCGAGGCCCGGGGACCCGCGCGCCGCCCGCCTGCCCGCCCGCTCGGGGAGCCCGGGGCGCAGCGCACCTGTGGTCACGAAAGAGTAGCCGCGCTCGGTGAGGATCTTCATCAGGTAGTCGGTGAGGTCGCGGCCGGCCAGGTCCAGGCGCATGATGGCGTGAGGCAGCGCGTAGCCCTCATAGATGGGCACGTTGTGGGTGACGCCGTCGCCCGAGTCCAGCACGATGCCTGCGCGGGGGTGGGGCCGGGGGTGAGCGGCGGCTCGGTGCCCGGCGCT